CACTTATATGTGGAATCTAAAAAACACACCAACAAACAAACAGAAACAGACTCAGAAATACAGAGAACAGGGGCGCCTGGGTGGCTCAGTCAGTTAAGTGTCTGACTTTAGCTCGGGTCATGACCTCGTAGTTCATGGGTTAGAGCCCCATGTTGGCCTTGTGCTGACAGCTCAGAGCCTGGAGTCTGCTTCAGATTCTGTGTCTCTCTCTTTCTGCCCCTCCCTCACTTGCACTCTCTTTCTCTCAAAAATAAACATTAAAAATATTGTTTTTACAAAGAAATACAGATAACAAACTGGTAGTTGCCAGAGGGAAGGGAGGATGGGCAATAGGTGAAGGAGATTAAGAGGAACAAACTTTCGGTTATAAAACAAGTCACAGAAATGAAAAGTAGAGCATAGGGTATATAGTCAAAATATTGTAATAACATTGTGTGGTGATGGATGGTGAATACCCTTATCATGCTGAGCACTGAGTAATGGATGGAATTGTGAAATCACTATGTTGTACACCTGAAAGCAATATGACATTGTATATCCATTGTACTTAGATAATAAAGAATATATAAATAAGAATTCTTGTGACCATTGAAAAAGATATTCTACTTTATCTATAGTTAGTTTATCTCTACTTAATAAAATAAGCCAAAGATCTTACCATTTGAAATACATCAGAGCCTTCATCAAAATCTACCATAGCAAAAAATATCCTGTTGGTAAATGCACTGGAGTATCGCCAGGAGTTTGCCAGGATCTGAAATTCTTCATCAGCTTGCCTAGATACAAGCAGATTTGTGAAGATAAAACATAAAACATTTTTAAAAGCAATCTAGTTTGTCAGCAGTAAAACAGAGCCAAAGAAGCCATAGCAGTTTTTCCAAAGGGGGGAAATATTTTTAAGAGAGAAAGAGAGGGGAGGAAAGGAAGGAAGAGAGAGAGAGAGAGAGAGAGAGAGCGAGCAGTAAGGCTCTGCTGACAGGGTTAGGACAAACCTTGGAAAAAATTGCCACTGTTTTGCCATGAGAGAAGGCTTATCCTAAGTGCTAGGGATTTCAACAGAAAGTAGTTACTCGACTCAGCTTCATACTTTGTGCCTGTTTCTTATTTCAAAGCTCTTTAAGTAGTCACTGGAAAAATACAGCTAAGTGTACAACAGCTTTTTTAATACTCTAAATTACTTAAGTGTTTAAAGACAAGGTTTAAGTATTTCCAGAGAAAGAAGGCTATAATAGTAATCCATTTTATAAATCTAATGTGTAACATGCTAGTTAGTAAATAAAAATACAGTCATAGGAATTATTAGGGTGAAAGATAAGAAGAATCTAGGGAATTGAGATTAAGTGAAACCTCAAGTCACGTTTGACTTTTCCCTTATTGCCCAAATGTTTTCAGTTTCCAAGATCTGATCATTCTTCATTTGCAATTATCTTTTACTCCATCCCTTCTAATTAACTTTCATTGGCACCAGCTAAAGTCAGATCCTTAATATTGGACATTAGAATATTAAAATACTGACTCTAGTTTCTCCTTCTCCAATCCTTCTTCTTATACGGCAATATACATCAGTCTTCCTAAATTACTACTTTCCTGAAACTCCTACTCTTCTCAGAAACCACTATTGCTTTTCTACTACCTTAGAACAGTCTCTAAGCTTTCACTGGTCATTCAAGGTTCTTTATCATCTAGTCCTAATAAGGCATCTAGCTTTTATGTAGCCTTACTACTAATCAATCTAAAACAGGATTTCTTAATTCCAGCACTTTATTTACCACTGTCTCTGTACCCTTGCACACATTTTTATTTGTAACCAAAATTTCCTACTTCTATCTAAATCTGATCCATCTGTCTAGCCTTAATACAAATCCTTTCTTCTTCAGGCCAATCCCAATCTTCCTATTTTAAGTCCTTCCTGAAATCTTGTAGTATTTATTATGTACATAATCCATTTGCTACTTAATTATAAATTGCCTTATATTGTCAGCTAAATTTTCACGTGTGGAATTCATTTCCCTAGCCGTATTATAAGGATAGGCATCTTACACTTCTCATCCTGATAGCACCAAATATATAGTATTATACACATTGCTGTTAACTTTTATTTTTTGAATGAGTTTAGGAAAATGTGAGCTAATATTAAATTTGGTACTATAGAAAGTAAGATACTAATAAACACTTGTCATTAATTTGCATTTAATACAGAATTAGGAAGGCGTTTGTGTTTGTTTCCTGATTTTTTATATACTCTTGATTGGTGAGTAAATTATTGAACTAAGAGTGATTTTAGGGGACGCCTGGGCGGCTCAGCCAGTTGAGCATCTGACTTCAGCTCAGGTCATGATCTCGCAGTTCGTGAGTTTGAGCCCCGCGTCGGGCTCTGCACTGACAGTTTGGAGCCTGGAGCCTGCTTTGGATTCTGTCTCCCTTTCTCTCTGCCCCTCCCCAACTCACACTTGGTCTCTCTCTCTCTCTAAAATAAGTAAACATAAAGGAAAAAAAGTGATTTTAGGGGCACCTGGGTGGCTCAGTCGGTTGGGCATCTGACTTCGGCTCAAGTCATGATCTCGCGATTCATTGGTTCAACTCCTGCATTGGGCTCTGTGCTGACAGCTCAGAGCCTAACGCCTAATTCAGATTCTGTGTCTCCCTCTCTCTGCCCCTCTCATGTTCACACTGTCTCTCTCTCTCTCTCAAAAATAAATAAAAAACATTTACAAATTTTTAAAAAAGAGGGCCGCCTGGGTGGCTCAGTCGGCTGAGCGTCCGACTTCAGCTCAGGTCATGATCTCACGATCCATGAGTTTGAGCCCTGCGTCGGGCTTTGTGCGGACAGGTCAGAGCCTGGAGCCTGCTTCCAATTCTGTGTCTCCCTCTCTCTCTGCCCCTCCCCTGCTCATGCTCTGTCTCTCACTCTCAAAAACGAATAAATGTTAAAAAAAAATTTTCTCCAAAGAAGACATCCAGATGGCCAAATGACACATGAAAAGATGCTCAACTTCACTCATCATCAGGGAAAT